GGTCCCGGGAAAGCTTTAGCAAACTCTAATTTGTCTAAAAGCTCACCAACAAAGAAAGAAGAAATGAAAAGTTTCCTCTGACTCAAAGACATGAAGTTCTGCCTCACTGCATCGTCTAGAAATTTGATTAGGTTATTGAAATAACCGTCAATGTTCAAGAGACCAATGGGTCTATTGTGTAACCCTTCAGAAGCCCACGAGATCAAGGTGAACAAACCTTCCATAGTGTCAACTCCTCCGGGAAGAACGATGAAAGCTTCCACAGCATGATTCATCTAAAAATATTTGTAGTAATTGCTGGAAACTGTGTGCTCTACGCCATATGTAGGTCCGTAGACCCGTCGTGTTGCTATGTACCCAGGAATGAAACCTCTAACGAGACCACCATTGGTAAAGACTGTTGAAGCAACAGCTCCTTGTAGGCCAACATTGCCTCCTCCATAAGCAAGACTAATTCTTCGCCTTATCAATTCTCTTCCTAAATCTACTGCAGTAGCCATAAACATTGGATTTCTACCAACAGAGTGACTGCCAAGAAGACCAACGAATCTTATGGTGTAAGCAAGTGTTCGAGAAGTTCCTTCCATATTTTAAGAATGTGAGATACTCTTTCCATAATCGTGATATATATAGTCTCTAAAACCGGACGATTGATGGAAAACTAATTATCACCAGCCAAAATACGTACAGTAAAATGGATTAAAATTACCTGCAGTCGAGAACGTACTCGCTAATACTATAGTCTACTGACGATATGACGTATTGAGACTCTTAAACAGTTAGATTCGCTGTCCTAAAACACGTTCAAATCTGAGACGAATAGTCAAAATGACTATTTCCTAAGACAACGACCCCTTGAGTAATTGCCCAAGAGTGAAACGTTGAAGGATGAAAAGCTACGATTTTTTTTTTTTTGTGTCCAAGAGACCCGATTCAAAATACCATTTAAAAATGCAACAGAATAATTATGCACAATGAGTACATGTTGTACAAGAAATTTATACAAATTTTGGCGAGGAACGATTAAAGAAATGCAACAGAAGTCAAGTAATAATACAAGAGGAAAGAAAAAGAAGGGCAATGTATGGACATATAACCATTCAACAAGCACCAATGGATGCCATTGGAATCAAAACAAGTCCCCTCTTGTGTGGTTGTGCCATAAAAGAACCAGTCTCATCTACTGCTTGGAGGAACAAAAAAAACTTCAGCTCCAGCAGGCTCCCTTGGGGTTAGCATTCTTTGTTATCCAAGGATGTTCCATGATCTTCTGAAGAGACAACCTTTTTGAAGAGTCCTTCACAAGAAGCCGACTAATGAGGTCCTTCGCTTGTGAAGAGACATAAATGGTGGAGGGAAAGTTGAGGTCAACCTTCATTATCCTTCTAAATGTATCCTTCTGGGTTTCAGCCTCAAATGGAGGCATACCATACAAGAACTCATAGCAAAGAACGCTCAGAGTCCAGTTATCAACTGCATAATCATGAGCTTTGTTCTCCACCATTTCGGGTGCCAAGTAGTCCAACGTCCCACACATTGTGTGTCTCTTGCTTCTGGATTGCACTGACCACCCAAAGTCCCCAATCTTCAATCGACCCTCATGGTCCAGCAAAAGGTTCTCCGGCTTTATGTCCCTGTGAATCACGTCTTTCTTGTGACAATAAGCCAGTGCTTGCCCAAGGCTTGCAATGTATGTGGCGGCTTGCACTTTAGAGAATCTGCCGCATTTACGGAGTTTCTTATAGAGTTCCCCTCCATGAGCATACTCGAGGATCAGGAAAATCCTCTCGTCGTCATGAAACCAGCCGTAGAGTCTAAGGATATTGGGGTGACTGAGACTGCTCTAGATCTCCATCTCTCTCCGGAGCTGATAGTGCAGCTTGTACTTCTCTATCTGCTCTTTGAAAATCACCTTCAGCGCCACAATCACTTTGCTCTGGACTTCACGGACAAGGTACACCCGGCCGAATTTGCCCCTTCCGAGGGGTTTCCTGATCTCGAAATCGTCGATTGACCACTTCTTTCTGGGCGTCGTCGGAGGCGGGGGCTGATTGGGTGGTCTTTGCCTGTAACTTTGCGTTTTGGATGCCATTTCTGCAATGTGACGGAGGAGATTGAAGTTGCCGGGACGGTTAGGGTTTTGCTCTGATATTTTAGACTCCGGAAGCCAATTGTTCTTCAACCTACGATTAGTAACGATAATTCGCAAACGTTATCTCTGTATTTTGTGACTCATATCCTTGAATTACTCAAAATTGCTGTGTTAAACTACACCCTTGAAAAAAATCCCACTTGATCAACAATTGAATTCCATTGTTGCATCAAAATATTAAACCATTGGGAACTTGTCTTAATTCATCAAGATACGTTACACCGATCTTTGAAAACTACACTCTTTGAACTACGGTAAAAGCATTCTGATTGGAATATTATGTTGAGTCTCTCTTTGTGAACCACAAAATGGTTGATGCGATTACGTTATCTCTGAAGATTATTATCAATGATCTCATTTGACCAAACAAACTCCGTTATGACCCTACTAAGGGAATGTATGTACAACAACCAGAGAAGAAATGACGTCACAAGGATCAAGCTGAATCATTCAAACAAAAATTCCGAACCTATATGCGATATTGGTATAAGAACTCGTAAGATTCCTTACTTTATAAATTCGTGAATTGAATCACATACTGAAGATATTTTCTTCTTCCCTCGAAACGAGATTAACCATAGTGCTAAAAACGAACCTGTCATTATCATATCTTGATCGAAGTAAGGAAGTCGAATATGATTAAACAAATATGAGACAAAGCTCGAATGTGAATTGTTACGAAGGCTCATTAATGGTAATGAGAACTATCACGAAGGTGGACGAAGGAATGTTTCAAATACGAGATCGATAATGACTGTACAACGAGTAGTACCTCCTCATAATGTATGATAAATCCCATATCTTGAAAATCTTGGACCACGAAAAGCCATTTGATGTTACTTACAAATCATTTCTGAACTATATGAATAATGTGAAGATGTCTTGAATGACTTGGATGATTTTGCTAAAACGTATGGATTGAAACAACCTCGGAATCTCCCACTACATCTATTGTGATTCAAAACTACAAATGCTGCTAAGGGACTTTCAATCAAAGAAAGAATGTTGTTGACTAATTACATACAATCGAAATTTGTGAATGAACGAAATGATGTACAAATATGTCAAGTATGCTCCAAAATACGATGTTATACCTTGCAAAGGAACTTAGGTTATGGTTGTTGAATCTGAGCAAGAACCTACGAAATGGATTGTTGGATGTCTTGCCTATTAATCTCTTGAAGAAAAACGAGTTTGATAACATCGACAGTTTGAGAATACGTATCCGTTTGGATAATGACGTAATTATGGTTTAACCAAATGAACATGACACGGTTATGATAAAGTGAGATCACTACGAAATGTTAAACGTTGACCCTTAGAAGAATTTCGAGGACGAAATTCCTTTAAGGGGGGGAGAAATGTAATGCCCCAAAACATACCCTAAAATTTTTAATAAATAAATATTCAATTAGTCAAATTTGTTTCGATTAAAATAAATAGTTATTGGGATTTGGGCCGAAATGAAATGTGTTTTGACATCCAATATCACAAATCAGGATAAGTCTCATAAAGATAAATCCAATATGTTGAGTATTTGTGTGGTCTTGATTGGGAACATAAGTACAGACCCAAATCAAGAATAAATAAAGAAATTATTTATAATATGATCTTTAAAATGATTTATTGATATAAATCATAAGAACAAATGATATGAATTAAATGTGAGAACCTTTTTGAATAAAGGTCAAATAAACCAAAATTGATTCTGTCAAAGTCAAACACTCAAAAATATGATGTCGAACAAAGTATTTCAAATAAATATAAAAATGATATAGTTGGATAGAATTCGACTGTCTGATCGCAAAGATGCAAACGGATTTCAATTTGGAGAAAGTTGGACCAAAAAGTGTACCCCGACTGGAACCAAAATTGGTCCCAATCAGGGACACTGTTGAGACCGCGCCTCCTCCTCCACTAAGGATACGCCGATTGGAATGATAAAGCAGGCTTGGAAGTTTTCCCCATCTCCTTCCTATATAAGACTACCAAAGCTTAACCATTTCTTCACCATTTCTCAAAATATTTCATCTTATTCTGTTGCTCTGAGTGAGGAGAACGCAGTGGTGTTGTCAATTTGGTGTGAAGTCGTCGGAGTTAAGAGATATCATTGCCGGAAGTTTCGCCGGAAAATTTCCAAAAAACCTCCATTAAGCTTCGAGGTAAGCCCGTAGATATATCTAAAGACTAGAATGTTCATGTAGGTTGTTTTTACGTTCATAAATGGTTGTTTGGTTGAGTTTTGTGTTTGACATGTTTAAGAACCAAGAAT